TTGTTAGAACGTCGAAGTTAAAACAAAAGCGATTAAATATTGTCTAGTTTTTTGTATATGTTTGAAATATTACCATCTACAAGCAAAATATTAATGTAATATGTTAGCCATTGTACTGTTAGCTTGCTCAGTCAGTGGTTTAAAAGTTACGTGAGAAGGGACGAACCATGTCAAATATCAAATATTCAATGTACATTTGAATATATTAAGAAATATTGGTGAGAATACCCTCTAATTAATAAAACAATCATCGCCTGTCATTTGAGACTACAGATTATCTTCTTAAGTGTTATGCGTTCATAAAGATATAAATTGGCCATCGCATTGCCATTTTTTGCATCCGCCAAGAACTGCTGTAAGAAGAAATTGACTAGAAACGATGAAATCGTCAAAGCATTCCGTCCAGTACATTCACTGCTTTCCGGACATTCGCGATTTTTCCATTTCTAAATTGGATAATCCTCGGGTATCTATTACTCAAACTCTGCTCATCATAGTTGTAATTTTGGATACGTTACCTTATTGTTGGTTGCTGATTTCAAAATCCATAAATAGTCTTCAAAAGATAGGAATAAAGCAAATTAAAAACAGTACGGCTAAATTGAGCTTATCTGGAACTAGGCAAATCAGCAATTGCGCCGAGGAAGCTCTTCGATTAGGTTCGGCTAGGTCAGACATATATCAAGAAGAACCATAAAGTGTAAAAGTTGGGTGGCATTCTCGTGTCAGAATAAACTATTCGTCATCTCCAAAAATTCAAACTTTGATGGAAGGGTTTACCTTTTTGTTCCAGTGCAGCACAGCAAAATCTTGCTAACGTTGCGTAATATCCACATCAGAAACTTGCGTATGGTGGTAAACAATTCAAAATCAAGTCAGTGGGAAACAGCAACAATTAGTCGCACTTGTAATTTAAAACATTTTCAAGACATTTTTTCAGTTGAAAGAGCGCCAGATTGAAGGGTAAATCAAGCTCAATACTGTTCCTCAGGAATTTAGAAAACACATAATACCAATGTTAAGGTCTGCATAATACATAGCAGGATTGTCAATAAAGGCTTCGAAATATGACAAAGCTTGGAAATAAGGCAGTAAAAGCAAACTTTTAGAATTTTTCGAACGTTATAAATGCGTGCTACGATGAAACAAATCTCTTATAAAACTGAGTATTCAACAGGATATCCGTTGATAAATTAATTTACAAAAAGAAAGTAGCGTTAAGTTCAGATGTATAATGAATGCACTGGATATATTCAAGTCGTTGGTTCACGCTCAACAGCATCTAATAACGGTGATGTATCCGAACCATTTTCAGCGGTAAGCTGTTCGTCTGAAATAAAATTGGTTCAATGCATGTGTACATGTATGAAACCAAAATTATTACAATGATAAGAAAAAACATCAACAGTGCGCTGAAGAAATATAAAATGGAATGTGAATTAAGGTTTAACATCTTCCTTCTCATCAAAACCGTAATTTATTATGACAGACTTCAGAGTACAAAAATTAAATGCGTACCATGCGCTAATTCAATAGCATTTCGCCTATCTTGATCGATATAAAAAGTTGCAACCAAGAACATCAAACTTCCGAAACAAAGCACAAAATTTGGTACAAATAATGAACGCTGAAGAGCAATAAAATGTGCAAGAGTAGATCGTTCATGTCCTTAAATTAAAGGCAAATAACTGGTGAAGATAATTTGATTGATAAAAATTGGTAAAAACAAAGAATAACTGCTGGGAACATGAACAGGAAATATCATTAATGTGCTATCAACAAGCACTACACGTTCATAGACGGTATGGATTTGGCGCACAGCCAATCCTATGAAGACAAGTTCTTGAACTCATGTGTATCAATACAATGGTAATGACACTAAATAAAGTTGCTAATAATAGTACATCTAGCAAAAATGAAACCAAATTTACAAACTCACCACGTACTGCATCTGATATAAGTCCAATCAGATATGGAGAAAAAGCGTCTCCAAAAAGATGTGAAATCAAAGTTTGAATAGCTGTTGCTATTGATCGCCGACGTAAACTTATAACAGACTGAAATGAAATTCTAATTATCAAATTTTGAAAAGCGTGGGTTGCTGAATTTTTGTTAAATCCTAAAACCTTATGCGGTAAGAGTTCAAATTCAAAAACAGTTTAATAAATACTACTATATCCAATCGGAAGCTCTAAATCTGAATCCAAATAAATACATAAGGAGAGAAGCAAATGCTCGACTGTATTTTGCATTACAACAGATATACTGCGCAAAAGCTTATAAAATCTTGATTTCATGAGTAATACATTTTCCACATACCATTAAAATATCCATGTTGACAGCCCAATTAACACAACAACCGGTTACAGCAAAAAATGTAAAAACCTGAAAAGTGAATATCGAGAACTTTTCACTGCTCTAATTTTTAAACAGAACTACTCAAATAATCTTATATCTTACAAGAACAATTAAGATATTACCATGCACAAAATCATGTTTTTTGACGATAAGATAAGGCCATAATAGAGGAATGGCACCGCTGAAAGAGAACCCAAAGCACAGACATGCAAATCGGCATAAGCGTTTTTCGGGATACTGCCAAATCCTGATCGCCAAATCTATGAACAAAGAAATCATCAGGTCCGATTTTGACAACAAATTGTCAATCATCAAATTAAATAGCTCTTATTTCTTCTGGTGAAAAGTACCGAAACTAATTTACGAAAGAAGCTTTTCTTACGGCAGTAACCCTAACGACTTAAATTCGAAATGTCCATTATATTGGCAACAATTATAAAGCAATCTTTTCATATTTGAAGTAAGACTGATAGTAATGATCTTACTTGAGATAAGAATGAACCGAAGAAAACACCGAAAAATCCAGCAAGACATGTGACGATTCCAAATACCAACCCCATCCTAGAAAAAATGTGGAGAAACAATAATAATTTAAAAAATAATTTTTTCTCTTATAGAAAAAAATTATATCTTATGACTCATCTCCATTTTCTGATGTCCAAAGCAGCACATCAGTTCTCTGTCTTTAAATGTTACAGAAAAATAAGAAACAAGAATAACGAACTCAGCCTTCACTTCAGTATCAATATAGCTTGTACCGTGGTGCACAGCCCATGCATACTGCATTAGCGTCGGTGTCCACCATCCTAAGCATCCAACCACAAACACTACCAACGTCAATCCAAGAGTTGTGATAATATACGTCGGTCTTAAAAGAAAATGAAAGTGTCCGTTTCTGATTTCTATAGTTATAATAACAAGAGCAAAGAAGAAGGAGACCAGTTGCCGTATTGGAAGCAAAGGCATAGATAAGTTCCAATTCTAACTGAACTAGATCTTATCCTTCGTTATTGGGAAAAAACTGCAATAGAGTAAAAAAAAACTTATACAAAAAAAAAAAAAACAAACACAGTAAACAGATATTTGATGTCTTCAACAAAAGAAGACGGTAGAAGATTAGAATGCTCCGCTTCACCACGTACTGGTTCTTCAACAATGAAAAACAGTAACAAAAAGCATACGATACCAAAAATGGGTGTTACACGGACACCCCAAAGCCAAGTATTTGTCCACAATGAAAAAGCTGCACCAGTGGCGTATCCCAATCCACTGAAATTATGAGCTAGTTCTGAAAACTTATGGCTAAAACTGCAAAATTTTGCAAGAATAACAACGTTCACTTTTTCTCTCATATCATTAATGAGAAAAGCACAATGATGTGTTATTCGATACAGTGACATATCTAAATGAGAAGATAACTGAACATCGAACGTCTCTTGAACATATCAGTCAAAATAAGTTCCAATCGTTAATGATTATTCATTTTCATTAGTGAGAGTGCTGTAAACCACCAAATTTATTTATGTTTTTACGGTTTGCTTACAACTTTTATGATCTCAGTAACTTTTATGATCTTTTATGATCCACTGTGGTAGAGGAATACAACCGAAAAAACGAACCTTCCAACTGGTATTGCAAAGTAGAAAACCATCAAAGCACAACTTCGTCGATTTCCTGTATACATATCAGCAATTATTGTTGGTGCGACAGTTACATAGGATGCTTCACCAATACCAACAATACCACGACATAACATAAAGAGATAGAAATGCTAAAATAGAAACCCAGAGAAATTAGCAAGAAATCAATGGAACTTTTTGGCTCATATTTCAAAAATATAAATGATTAATTCGTGAATCAAAAACATAAAACGAAACACAAATACCAACTACGGGACGACAAAATGTTGATAATATGACCGCTGTCATCCAAACAATTAACCCGATCTGTATAATGATTTTCCTATTGTATCGATCACCATAATAACCACAAACTGGAGCAAACATCATGTAAAACACTACGAATATCGTCTGCAAGCCAACATAATTCAGTTCACTCTTTCCGTTCTTCATTTATGATTTCATTACTCCATGATCTAGGAGCTTGTATTTGCAAAACAACAACAAATAAAATCCAAGAACTATGGGGTCATTTGACACAACGCAATTTCAATTGATATGTTGACGGTGCAAGCTATTAAAACATCCAATTTAATCTACTCAACGATTTTAAACGGAACAATTTCACTAGTTTCCCCCAAAAGACAAAAGCAGGACTTAAATCTGAACCGAAAGTTTTTGAATTTAATTTTAATTGAAAAATATCCAGAAACTCTGCCTACAATTTGTCAACTGCTATCATGATACAACAAATGTATACCTGCAGAAGTCCAGCACTTGAGTCATCGATATCAAAATATTTTTGTATTTGAGTAAGTACACCAGCAATTGTAAACCTTAAATATTGTTAATCACTAATTCAATGTAATTTGAATATGGCCAGAACTGTCATTCATGTTATATCTAAAATGAAGTAGGAACGTGAAATACACCAAATAACATTGCTATGCAATCTTAATCTTACCCTCTTACATGTTATTATATATTTAAATTGCAATCATATTCAGATTTCATCAAAATCCAAGAGGTTTGTGCGTGTTTATCATACTCTCGTTTTGTTCACAACCTAATTGTACATGGATGGAAATAAATTAATTATTTGGCATCATGACATTTTATAAGGGGATCAGCACCATATTGCAATACAATTTGTAGTTACATTACGAAAACAACATGCAGTGATATATTCAGGTAATCTTTCAAATTATCGTAACTAAATTTGAAAATGTATAAACTTGGCGATAAAATTTAGGAATTACATACCTATCCATATAATTGAGCAAATTGATAAGGAACAGTACACCAATCGATGCAAATTTTCTTCTCCTTGACCAAGCAGATGTTACCAACAACTGGTTATCTTCGTCACTCATCATCATCGGTACTTAGCCAAGATTGCCAAACTGTAACATTATTTAACCTCCTTGCGAATAAAATATGCATGAATATCATCAAAAAAATAACAATATTGTTTATATTTTCATGTCTACTCATTCGAAAAATAAACCAGAAATGTAAAGCCTAGACGATTAACCAATCCAGAAAAAGAGATGTGAATGCTATGCAAACTTTTACCCTTGAAAATTCTTAAAATGAGTCATTTATCATGCATAATCCTTAAATGCTTTAAGGAATGATAATCAAGATAGAAATAATACTGCTGTATTCAGAATTAAAAATTCTTTCATTCGATTAAAATCAATTAAAATCAGCTTGCAATGAGGACATTTGACTAAGAGGAGGATTTTATAGAAACTGATTTAAATAATAAACTTATAAACTAAAATGAAATTGGGAAAAATAGGTTAAAATTAAATTGAACTACGCCAAATTATCATCATTTTTGCCTAATTTCCTCATAATAATACCACTCATATCCTCGCTTTTTTTTTTATTTTTTATTTTCTGAAACATTTCAATGTAACATATTGCAGCGCTTCAAACAAAAAAAAAGATTGATGAGGAAAAAGTAACATAACAAACTGACATTTCTCAATTCAGTTCAATTTGAATATGGTATACCAATCGATGTTGCACTTAACATCTTCCTCATCGTTCCAAATAGGCAACCAGGTAAAAACCGAGTTCTAGACAGGTAACCGGTAAACGCCAAGTAAAAAGACGTCCCCAATACTAATACCAATTGACGGCCCCACAAATGAATTATTAAATAGAAATTACGATTAAACCACTCGCTCGTTAGACCATGAAAAAACATTTCGTTTCTTCCTCGTTTTACTCTTCTTCTCCACCACTATTATCACTCGTTACTATTTACATAGTCTCTTAATCTCTATCAATATTATACTCATTCAAACCAATCAATCATCAACACTACTATAACATATGACCTTTAAACTCATTGCCTTTTTTTTTTTCTACTCTTTCATGATAACGATGAACTATTTCACAAATCTTAGCAAACTTTTGTCATTTCATATATAACTATGCTATTTCGTCACTCTCAATCTTTCACTCATACATTCCATTTAGCTTCTAATCTTTCTCATTCCTTGTCTCAATCTCTGTCTCCTCCTTACATGCATTCTCCCTCATCCTCTCCACATATAAACTTGGCTTGCAGTGATTATGAAAACTTTGTCTCACTACTTTTCAAAAAAAAGAAAAATTAGCTGATGTTTTTAGATGGTTTCAAACAAATCAGGAAAAAGAAATTGATGTTCCGGAAAAAATCAATTAAGCCCTATATGGTTTGCCGAATTTTCCGTCAAAATTAAAATGATGAAATGTTTATAAAATTAGAATTTTTATAAAAAGAAAAAATTGAATGATTTCGAACAAATCAGGAAAAAATATTAATGTTCCGGAAAAATCCGATTAAGTTTTATATTGCCGAATTTTTCGCCAAAATTAAGACAGCGAAATGTTTAAAAAATTAGAATTTAATTTTTCATTGCTTTTTCATGGATACAATTCAAGATTTCCGGATATTTTCGATTATTATTCTTTCGTTCTACTGCATTAATTTTCAGCTTAATTACATATCGTATTTTGTATTCTCTACCTTTGCCCAATCAGATGTCCAATGTTCAATTGCTATTTACTATGAAAAAAACAAAAAAAAAAAAAAAAGAAAAAAAAAAAGGAGCAAAAATAAAAACAAACCATACGGGAAATTTTAATAAAATTTTACAAAAAAAGAAAATATTTGCTTTTAAAATTGGTGACAATTTTAAATAACATTAAATTTTCATCGCTTTATAATAACATATAAAAATTCATTGCTAGACTTTGCAAGTAAATTAGTGAAAATTGAAATTTTGCTAATAATTAAATTAAAAAGAAGGTAAGATGGAATTGGAAAAAAAATTATTACCAATAGATAATAAATAATGGAAATTAACATAAACAATCATTAATGATTATCTTATCCTTTTGAATTTTTTGTTTTTTAAGAAAAAAAAAAGTTAATTACTAGGATGAAATTACTTATCATTTATTTTTATTTTTTTTTTGTATTAATTAAAAATGAAAATTTTATCCTTTTCAGTGTAACAAAATAATAGAAATAGAAAAAGTTTAATTTTGATATTTGCAAAATTTCTTCTCATTAATAATCATAATTATTATTTGATATGAATTAACATCATTATATGATTTCTCTTTTCGTCAATACTTCCTTTTTTTTTTTTCTTCTTTACCCTCATATGATACACTATTTATAGCTTCTATCATTGATTAGATAAATTATCATAAACACTTATCAGTTCAATAGATTTTAATTTTAGAAGTATATATAAATATATATGAATAATAGTTTGCCATATAATTGCTTACAATTAGTTATGTTATAAAATGTAATCCATATGAAATGAATTACTTCTGAGGTCTTTCTTCCAATGATTTCCCGAGAAGAAAAACACTTGAGAAAGGCTGTAAAGGTTTGTTACAAATACTATCATAAATATATTCTTCAAGTCTATGCAGTGGATTTTTTAGATGATGTATAGCATCCCAGTTTTTACTCTTAAGATTCTAGGGCCTAGCAAGGATAGAACGATGACAGTGAAATCCTTAGCATGTAGGCTTAGATGAATAGGTTTAGATTAAGCATTAAGCAAACTTCATCCGTCCAGGTTTTTTTTTTTTTGAATTGAAACCATCCTTTGCCTAAAATAGTTACTAGAAGAATTACATGCCTTATCCTGTTTGTGTGAACATATTTTGTTTGATACATCAATTAAAATCTGTTTAATAAAGGCATATACCATTTCCAGTATAGTTCACAATCCTGAATGGGTCACTACCCGTGACAAGGATTTTCCCACTTATAATAATTAAAGACAGTAATAATAATAGTCCGAGATTTTAGGATTTAAATGTATTAATAGAAATTTTTATTAATTAAATCTTTATAAATGAATATGCTATACCGAAAAAAAAAATTGCGAAAAATTTGAAATAATCATAAATTTTATTTTATCATTTCGTTTGTATAACATAATTTGTTAAAATGTAGAATTTTACAAAGAATGAAAAATTTGATAATAATTGCATTCCTAATTTATTCCATTCAATTCGAACAATTTTATTCCATTTATTTTCGAAATAAATAAAAATGAATGTGAATGAATGTTATCACATTATTATTTCATAATATCTATCATACATTAATATAAAATATAAATTTATTAACTAGCACTAATTTGAATATTTTTTACTTCTTTGAAATTCGTATTACCCAAGAATTTTCCCTATTTTCAATATATTGCTTAATTAAATTTATGTTATTTGTCATTTAAAATATTATGAAATGTATTTATTGATGTGTTATTGATTAGTATTAACAGTGAATTAATAAAAATTACAATAAATTTTGATAGTAATAATATTATTCGTAGTAATATTATTGATTAGAGCTAAACTATCTGATGATTGTATTTTAGATGGTATAATAAGATGAAATTTCAAAGTTTTAATTTTAAATACCGGATAAATTATTGAAATAAATAAGTTTTTGCTATGATAATTATTATAAGCTAAATAACACGATAATTGTGATCAAATGAATTTGACTACCGTTTGCATAATTTTGGCTGTATGATTGCTTTTACCGTCTGTTTAATTTTAGGATCCGAGAAAGAAAATTCAAAAATCGTAATTGATATGTGATTCATTATTCCTTTTAAAAGAAATAATTAATTGCTAAATAACAACAATAATAAT